CAGCAATGATCAATCCATCCCTTTAAAAAACTCACACACTCCATGCTCTTTCAGGAGTAGTAAATTGTAATTGTACGCTTAGTTCTTTAAATCTTTCTCAGGTCACTCTTGCTAATTTATCTGCCGGACCTGTAAGTTTGTACAACATTTCTTTATTCTGATAGTTTGCTATAGGACCGAGCAAAGACTCTAGGGCCCACCCAAATTTCACTCTACTAGAGGCTTCTTGCCAAGTGTCACCCTGATTCTGTTCCTATTCTAATCTTCCCTAGCTATGCCTGTGTCTAGTCACTGAGTTGTTTTTTAAGCAGATTTCACATTTTGACATTACTGATTTTGCCATTGTTAGCATCCGTACCGAGATTAATTTTTGTTTCATCAATTTCACCAATGCCTCTGCACCCCAATGACATTTGTTATGTTTCATTTGTAGAACTTTATTGGAGAACCACCAGCGATTCACCGCTCTTCATAGAAGTAATTGTGAATGCCGTTTATTTCTATTATTAACACACCTTTTATAGGGTTCTACAGGGTCTGCGGGCAGAGCAAGTTACTATTGGCTAACACACACAGGTTTACATTCTTATCCTTGTACACAAGGATTTTGTTTTGCTTTACTCTCTCTTCTGCAGGAGGGTTTCAAGGACTTTAGCCTTTAATATCACGAGTTATTTCAAAGACTGGTTTGTGCAGACAGGCCTTTACTAATATATAAAATATAGCAACAATTCCCCCTTTCTCTTTTTGCACAAACCAGGCTTTGGATGTGACTCATTCTATAGTTTCATGAAGCCAAGATAACACACAACTTAGACTTTCATCCCCATTAACATTATAAGTAAAGTCCGTCCCCCTTCTAGCACAAGAGACCTCAACCATCCAGTGATGCCCCAGCTGGAGAACCAACTTCCAATGGGGTCACTATCTTCTTTCAGGGCATGTAACCCATCCTGTAGCTGCTGTAGTTGCCCATGGATGGAAACGGAATGATCAGTAAGATTCAGACAGCACATGCCTTCAAACTCCCCACAACCATGTCCTTGTGCTAAGAGCAAAAAGTCAATTGTGGCTCGATTTTGTAATACTGCATGACATACACTACTCACATCGGCTGAAAGCTCACTTAACATTGTGGATATTAAATTCAATCTTTTATTAGTCTAACAAGCGAGCCTTTTTAGAGTTGCTAAGCTTTAATTCATTCAGGCTTCACTTTGACTGTTTGATGTTTTTTATTTTATCAACTACATTCAACAATTGGTGTAAGCTTGGATGGAAACAAAGTAAGTTTCCCAAAATAACAGGGTTTTCTATGTGGATTAGCAGGAATCTCATTCCATGCTCTATCTCCACAGATTAGGAATATGGAACTAATTAATCGCTTTGGTAATTGTTCTGTGAGATTGCACCACTAATAAAGGCTTTACTTACAATGGTAGTAACGAGATCAGCTACAGGGTTGTCTGCAGCCCAGTGCTGCATTACTTTGTTAGAATGACGTTTTGTCGGGGGTTCAAACATTATCCATCCACCTGAGGTATTGGTGGAACCTAACAAATCTAATTCTTCTGAGGGCTGCATGGTAACATTGAGAACTTTGGTAATTTTTGCTTGCCAGCAGGCTTCAAGTTGTCTTAATGTGAAGCCAACAGTGCAATTGCACTCTTGCAACATTGCAAATTGATTCAGTCGAGTCTCATTACTAATTAAACCTTTAAATGCTGGAGGATCCCATTCAGGGACTCCTATGAGACAGGTGTGAAAAGGATCTCCAGGTGTGGCTAGGCTCAGACACATTGACCTTTGGCCAGTTCAGTGTGCCAGAGTGACCCATATGTTCTGTCACTTTTGGATGTTAGTTAGCAGACAGTTGGTCAGGACTATACACAACACAATTACCATAAGCAGTTTGTTCCATGTAAATGACACCATACTTGCAAACACACAGCTAAACTTTAACGTTAAATGAACTTTCAAAGATGCTTACACTACCTCTTGAAGGGGGGAAATGCTTATACTTTATACTAATATAACAATTACTACACAGGCTAAACTCTTAATCTTAAACTATTATCTAACTACTTTTAACACACATGCTCTGGTATATATGTAGTCTAAGTGTGGAAGCAATTTGCTGAAAGGGTAAACACACAACTACAATTTGCTTTATATACAGTTAGATGGAGTCTATACTTTTCTTAGATCTTCTACAGAATTTCCTTCACAAACAGACTATGATTTAACACGATTCAGTCTTGGAACGTTCACTGCTCCCGTGATGTCAGCTGGCAGCTGATCGGTGACTGAGGGCTTTGATGTTCAGGTTGTTCTTCACATCCTTCTAAATCTTAAAACAAAAGATAACTGAAAAATTGGTAGAGACACAACATCATAATAACAACATAAAATTTCTGTTGGTAAACTGTCTGTGTAGTGTTCAGACACAACTGTGTCCTGACAGCTCCACTTCTGATCCATGTCTGGAGTACCAAGGCTGTGTGGTGACTTCTCTGTTCACTGGATCTCGTGTGTTCAGAGGCAGACAGTCTGGTCAGATGGACAGGTGACCTTTTTGAACCTGCCAACAAAACACAGACACTTCTTCCTTTGAAGTTAATGAATTACACTAATCAAAATGCTTTTAGGATATCAATTTTCCCCATTTTCTTAAAAAAAAAAAAAAATGAGATGTACTTCTGTTATAAACATCAACATAACACAAACCCATATATACAAGGATTAAGAACCTATAGCAGTTAAAAAACCAATTAAATCATAAACATTATTAATAAGATATGTAATATAAAACTACTATTAATTACTAAAACACTGCACCAGCATCCCATAGTTTGCAAACAAACAGAAACAAAAAATCATCAGTGAAGGATTGGATAACCACCTCCGGAAATGATTCTCCAAGCCCACTTCAAAATTGATCCAGCTGTCATATTAATAGGGTCAAATTGCTGAGTCAAAAAGTGACTCAAATACTGATTTGGGACAGAAAACATCTGGATCTGTTGGCAAACATTCTGTCCAGGTAAAGTCAAGGCTTGGCCAGGGCCTGGCTTTAAACTGGAAAGATGCCTCTTAACTCATTTCTAAAACAAGGTTCTCAATAGCAGCAGCTAGGAGATGCTCACAGCACAGCAAACTGTTAAAATGCATTTGTACAAAGCAAATGATCAGAAGCCTCAGGTACCAGACCAATTAAACCATGCAGCAGTTGGTTTAATCTGAAGCCTCTCCCATGGCAGCTGGTCCTCAGCAATGGTACATCTTCTTAAAATTCTGGAAACACTGAAAAATAAGAAAGCTATAACAAACAAAAACTGCAGAGATTGCAACAACCAATAGAACTCCTGATGAAGTCAAGGGTGTCACAGACTGCATTCCCTTCTATCCACAAGCAGGTGTTCATCAGCGTTCTGTCACAGCTGTTTCAGTTGTGGCTATCTTCATCTCTCTAGGAAAATAACTATACTTTGCAGTTTAGACAAGTGTCTCCAATAAAACATAAACAATTTAAATTAAACAATATTTAAACCTAACAATAATGATTTATGACAAAAGGAAGTAACAAACTTAACCTTAAAAGAATATCTAAGTTATAAAACTTAACTTAAAAACATTCAAGCCTAAATATAATAAAACTTGACTATTCTTAATTCTATTAACACTTAATCTATATTAAATAAAAACATAATTTAATCTTATTCTGTTACTACAAAGAGGCAACTAAAAGTTTGATATATACCTTTTAAACACAATATAACAGTAACATAGATTCACTATAAAGATTATAAAAATATAACAAATCCATCACAATTCTATGTCATCTAGCTTTGAGAATAACTCACAATAACTGCAAATGGTACTAAAAATACTTATTCATAACAGGAATTTGCCTAGTATATGTTTAAATTGGTTAGGATTTTAAAGTGCAGTTTTTCTAGAGAAAAACCACAACAACACAGGATTTGGCAAGTTGCCATTCAGCTTTTGTAGCACTTTTCAGAAACATTAAGTCTAATTCTTAAACTAAAATCAAAATCCAAATTGGTATATATGCAGTTATATGTGTTTTATATAACAAAAGGACTCACATTGAAATTACCTTATTAGAATTGTGGAAAAAACAAGCAAATGGGTAATATATACTTTAACTTAACTTTGTCTTGTACAGTAAAGTTCTCTTAACTAATTAATTTTTTTAAACCATAAATATCTTTTGTAGATAACATCAATTGGAAGGTTTTCTTAGTAGCTGTAAATTATACCATATTTTAACCTTAGGTTTTAAGGCTAATTATTGCAAGGTAACTTCTGTTAATATTCACCTTAAACACCTTTTTTCTTGAAAAGGGGCCTTTTTAAACTTTCAAAGAATCACAATAATTTCTCCAGGAAAACTCTAAAAAACTGCAACTGCATAAACTCATTATTACTTAAAACACAAAATTAACTCTAAAAGGGTATATAAAAACATTTAAAAAACCCATGAATCATGACTTTTTAACAAACTGGGTACTATCCCAGTGCTTTTTCTTAGAGAGGGAGCGGGGGTGGACTGCCCGCCCTGCTGCTGCTCTCTGCTGCTGTTATCTTTCTTCACATTCTCCACATACTCTCGCAGAAAAAAACCCCAAAAAACCTCACAAAGTTAAGTTTAACACATACAGTTGTTTCTCTCAATCTCTCTTGTTCACTGATAGAGGAAAAAAGGGGCACAATTTTTACAAAAGCAGGCGATGTTACACAAAAAGTCTCTCACGGCCAGGTGCTAACAACGGTGACCATTGCAGCTTATCAACTTCTAATTACAGTGATGAATTTCGAACTAGATACCATATAGTTTGTGATTTTTTGGCTATTTTGTCTCTTTTTGAAGCTGTCTGAGCCACCTGTTCCTGCTCAGCTGTTTCTGTAATTGTTCAGTGTGGCCTTGGAACTTTTTCTGCACTGCTTCTGCCCCGGGGGTGCCCCCGCTCTCTGCGCACACCTCAGTGCTCCCCCATGTCCCCCTGGTTCAGGTGGAAACCAATCTAAATTTGGATTCTTTTCCTCCAGGGTAGCAAAGTTGGAACTTAAATAAGATTGTAGTGTTAAGAGTGACTCCAAAAGTGAAGCAAATAGTTCAGGATATATCACATCCTGCCGTAACTGAACAGATTCTGTTGTTTCAGTGTTTGCTGTGGAATTTCTTTCTCATTATTTCCTTCTCTCTGACTCTCCCTCCCTCTTTCCATGGGCAGCATAGATAGGAGTGTTTGCCCAGCAGTGGGAGGCAAAGGCGTGAGCATACCCGTAAGCAAGAAGTCCAGGGAGCTCCTTGCGCAAATCAAAACCCTTAAGCTGTGGCTTTTCTAAAAAGCAGGTAAATAAATCATGTGCTGCTTGCCTTTCCATCTTACCGTCAGCGCTGTTGCAGCCCTACAAGGTTTGGCAGCACGTTACGGCCAGGACTCTCCTCTGAGGTCGCCTGGGGCGCGGCACCGTTGCTTTTCGCCGTCCTTGCTGCGGAGGACCCGTCCCCTGTCGCCGACTCCCGTGGCCTTCGCTTTTTAATGTCCCAAAGGTCCCAAAGGTCCCAAGGGTCCCATTTGTTCGGGCGCCATTTGATGAGTTCGGCGGGAGACAAGCAGCATTCAATATGAATGATCAGCAAGTCTCCTTTATTGGCAACTCCAAACTCCCTATATAACATCAATAATTAGGCTCACACATAGTGCAAAAGCAAGCTCATTATTGGGTATTTTGTTTAAGGACAACTCCACCTAGTTCCACCTTCTTGTGGTCATTCATCTGTGCTGAATCCACATTCTTCTGATCACAGTGTCCTGTTCTCAGTTCACAGTTATCACTAAGGTCTTTCTGACATTGCAACATCTCATACCAACTACACTCTACTGTTGTTTAATTCTTTCTCAGCTAATTGCTGCATGGGAACACGACCTTTGTTAGCCAGCCACTCTTCCACACTGTTGAGCTTCGGGAGCCTCCCGGGAAGCACCAGCCCTCCCCAGCCTACCCTTGGTAGGACTTTTCTTTTTCTCTCTGCTGACGATTTTATCCCCAAAACTGCCGTGGGAACGTTGTATCCAAGCACATCCTCCAGCGCTGCACTTTCCTCCTGTGAATTCCCTGTGCAGGGAATGTGTCTGTGCTTTTCCCTGCTCTGTTCACTGACAAACAAACCTGAGCCCGTGGGACTGTCAGAGCTCCTTCATGCCATGAAATCAGGTTGTGTTTCTCATGGCATGTTCTGGAGGAGCTTTTCTTGGTGTGTCTTGTGCTGCTGGAAATGACACAAGAGCCAGGAGGGAACAGAAGCTGCTGCTGCCCGTTGGCTCAGGGCCAGGGAACCAAGTTGTGCTCCCGGGCAGTTGGGCCCTGCTGGAAGCAGAGCCGCGTTTCCCTTGAGCAGCTCAAGCTTGGGACAGCTCCAAACAGGAAACCTCAGCAGAAAACTCTTCCTCCAAACTCAGCTGCTTTCCCTCCTGCAGCTGTTTGGGAAAGAGCCTCAAAGCACAGACTCTGCTGGGAGCCATTGGTGCATTTCCTCCCTCCCGGCAGCAGCAGCTCCTGAGCCCTTCACGGGCTCCTGGCCCTTCCCAAACCCTTCAGCTCCCTTGGAACTCTCAGCACTCACTAACATAGGTATTTCTTTCATATTTAAATTGCATTTAAACTTCTCTTTTTCTCTCCTCTCTATCTTTTTAATCTCCTCTTTATCTCCTTTAATCCCGTCAGCCCCAGTAGGATGGGGATGGAGTCCTGGGGTGGGTGTGGGATGAACTGAGGATCCAGCAGAGAAGGGCAAGGCAGAGGGGAGAGGACTCAGCCAACCCTTCTCCTGCTCTCTCCTCCCCCAGGCTCCAGCTAAAGCAAGTCAGACTGGAAAGGATCCCACAAATGCTGTGTTCTCCTCCCTCTGAGCTTGGCTGGGGATCCTCAGCTTCAGCCTGGTGCAGTGGCTGAGATTCGCTGATTTGAGATTTTTGGCTAATGCACTAAATTGAAGAGGTTTATTATTACTTAATCACCATTCACCTTTGCCAAGTTCTGCTGCACTGTGTCTGCTTTTCACCCAATACACTGCTAGCTCACCTACACACATGTGCTTCTTAGGATAATATTTAGATTCATAGCTTACTCTATAAAATCACACAATTACAGTTGAAATCTCTCCACCATCTCACTCAATGCAGTTTTTTATTTACTTATGGCATATTCTTACTTGCAGCTATAGGAACATAAGCTTATGAATTCTCGACTCAGCGTCTGTGAACCTTTAGCATTGCATGAATCCAAGCTCCTTCCAAGGCTGTCAATCAAATCCTTCAGTATCTGTGGAAGTTTCTGTCTTTCCATTTCCCACAGCCCACCAAAGGATTTGTGACCCTTTGTGACAGAGGAGAACCTCCCAGGCAATTTTGTGTTTGCTGTAGGGAAGGTTGGGTTGCTCTGCATCAATTCCCAGAGCAGCGCAGAGCATTGGCTTTGTGATGTCAGGGCATGGATGCCACCTTGTCGTGGTGACATCCCAAGGTTGCCTTGGTGCACGGAAGGCCTCAGGGTCAGAGCAGCTCTTGGGCTTGCTCAGTGCAGGAGCATCCTCCTGCTTGAGGCGTTTGTCAGTGGGCAGCTGCACACTGACAGGAGCCTTGTTTGTTCTTGTGGTGGAGCAGAGTGTGCAAACTGGCACAGCAGTGCTACAGTGATGGAGCAGCTCGCTGTTGCAGTTTGCACCATTTATGTCATTGGCTACTCTGGCTATTTCCTGACCAACCTGGCACGTAAGTAGAGGTTTTCCCTGGCTGGAACCTGAGCTGGCTTTTGTAGGTCTCCCTGCTCTTTCTTAGTGACCGGGTTGCTATTGAAACACAAAGACCATGAGGATGCCCCTGGTTTGGTAAAGCTCCTGTCAACACCTTCAGCAAAACACGGGGTGTCTGTAGCCAGGGGGCTGCGGGCAGCATTTGCAGGGCTTCTGTTCCCTCCACGGGAGAGCCTGTGGCAGCAGAGTCTGGCATTTCCTCACTTTGCTGGCTCAATCTCTTGGGGTGACTTTACTTTTAAGATAGCTCTGAGAGCTCGGGAAGTTGAAACTGCTGGAGGCTGATGGGAGTTTTTTCTCCTGACTAATTCCTGGCCATGGGTGAGAATTGGCAGCGGTTTTAACTATTGAGAAGTGAG